ACTGATGACGCGTATTGCTTTCCGGCTATACGAAAATACATACATGCCATTCAGCAAGGGTTTACTCAATTGCAAAAATAAAATCACAAGAAAAATGGCGTGTCTCGCCATGAAAGGATAGTTCTATGGAAGGAGCAGTCAATGCTAATGATTTTGTAAGACCATCGAATGAATGAATGTAAGCTGCCATTTAAACCTTATGCAAACGGCTAATTTTTATTCGCCGTCCAACCGGGTGGGATGGAGCGTTCAGAGGGCGTTGTGGTTGTCACGTTCTGTTCAGCAATCAACGCACCCTTCATCGTTAGAGCGCTACAACTTGCTTTTTCGGAACCTTACTACTGCTTCCTGTGACGCATACACTTCCACGATGGGCTCCCTCTTTATCATAATGGCTTCCTAACTTTGGTGCCGCTAAAAAGGATTATCTTCGAATCAAATTAGGGTAACCCTCCTCTCTGTTTCAATGCGTAATCACAAGGCTCATGTCATCGGTCCGTTCTCTAGTATTTTTGGAAATGAATGTCGAATGCGATTTCACTGGTTCGTTGTAACACTATTACTTACGATATGATAATCATATATTATTATCACTTATGTAATTACCAGTATAAGCTGTAGATTACGACTTTTACTTGTACTATACACTCTAGATCATAATATTGGTGCAATGATCAGAGGTACTCATCATTTTCAGATTGGTTGCGATGTTCATAGTTTGCCCAATTGGTAGCGCTGTTCATTTCCGAGTCGCGTGATGCTGCAGATTATCATGGTGAAAAAAAACATACTGGCTTGCTTCCGAGAACCAGCTGCGCGTCGAGTGCAGACCATACACCACAAGTGACGACGGCCTCCAAGTAAATCTGGTTAGTAGTGGTCATAGTGATAGCTGATTTTGGTAAATGATAGTTGTAATTAGTGACAACTGATAGAATACAACTGCAACAGGCTAATCATTTCATTGGCAGAAAACATTTACATTTTGTGGAGGCCGTCGTCACTTGTGGTGTGTGGTCTGCACCGACGCGCACCTGGTTTTCGGAAATATGGGTTAGATGGGCTGCTCTAAGTATTGCAGTGGATAAATTACGTTCACACGCTTCGGCGTTATTGAATATAAGCACGATGCATGGCGCATCTGAGAGGTGGTTGGCATAACTTCGTCAATGTATACTATACCGCTAAATGAGACTTCTCATCATTCTCCAGAAAAAAAGTGACAATACTAGAAATAACGGGATCGTTGTGCAAAGGCTTGTGGATGAATACATAGGTGGAGACTGCTACCACTTCACGTGCGTGCCATTTGCCAGGAAAGGCAAGGTCGCAGCTTGTCCACCGCTTTAGGTTGCCACAGGGTGAAAACCCATAACGAGACGATTTTGGAGGTCACCGTCGAGGTCATGGCGCGCGAAACCCAGACAGCCGCGCGCAAAACCCTGGAGGCATTTTGGATCCGGTCAGGAATCCAAAAATGAACCGCAGGGGAGAATTGATCACGCTCTAACACGGAACAACCCCTACACCAGGTAGCCTCCAGCGGAAACCCTGAATTCGGATAGTCATACCCTCTTTAACTATATCTCTACTGATTCCGCCTGCATCATAACAAACGTACGTAAACTTACTACTCAAATCGTGATTCATAGCTGTCTCCAAGCTCCTCGTAGGCCAGTCGAACATTTGGTCAATAAAATCATCGAATTTGGTGTCCAACTTGTTAGGCTCCGAACAGGCGAACGCGCAAAACGTTTAGCCGCCGAAATCATATCCACACATCTACTCCACAAATACGAACTTATATCTCAAAATAGCTTTTCTCCTACTTAATCGCTACGTTAGCTCACCCTTCCGCAATAGGAGTATAAAACACGCTCTCCGCAATTTCCGACTCTCCACCCGACTGCGTGCGAGGAGCGCAGCGGCCGTGGCGATGACTGAGGCACCCCTTTGGAAACAATTGACTAACGAATCCTGCTGCTCAGCATTTTCTAGCCATTGTAATAAGTCCTAGAATATTCAAAAGCGCTAGCGTTTTTAGCGGTGAATTACCGTCATTTGCTCACAGGAGCTTCCGGGCAAGAAAAAGCTCGACTTATCTTTATCTATACTAAATAAGCATTGAGCGCCCAACTGACTGCTCGACTCTATCAAAACTCATTCACAACTTTTTTGCGCATGACCATGCTAATTAACTTTTTTATACTCTCGATGGATGCCCTAAAAGGAACATTAAATTCTTGCTAACAATTCAGATGCGCGACTCGGGTCAAAATCCGCACTTTCCGTCTGATCTTGTCACTGGTGACAGAGCTGTCGATCTTGAACGCCTTATAACAGAATCGACGTTGTTCATGGCCGTGGCCAATATATATTGGACATGTTGGGCATTGCTGAACGCAGAGGTGAGTATTGGAATTTGGTTTATAAAATGGATCGCACGCTATTTTACTGCCCTTTTTCCAGCAGCTTTTATTCGAATTTTTACATAATAACAAGCTAAGCACGCAACCGCAAACTTAGAAGAGGATCCTACAGTAAGGTCCTAGGTCGAAAAAGGAGAAATGCGCCCAGCCTTATGGCAAGCGGGCTTTTAAGGCTGTGGGAAGATAAGTATTTTAGCTACGTCCCTAGTAGAGCGAAGGCATAGCCCTTCTAGGGCCGACCACGGCCATGCCTTTGCCGCTATCGCCACTGCCCTGCCCACCCTATCGTCATCTGGCTTTAGCCGCCTAGCAAAAAGAGAGAGCGTTAGCGTTCTCGAGGTCAGCACCGATGAGACACGGCCAACGCGCATCAACGGGCAATAGAGGTTCCACTTGTCGGGTTCTGGGTCATTTCTCATGATTTTTTTCTTTATCCGAGCCCCTCTACCTCGATTCTGAGCTGCGTTTTCATGGTGAACTTTAAAGTGTAGGCGGTTAGTCCATAAATTAATTTACTAATGAACGCGTTCGATTTCAGGACTCAGTGATTCCGTTTGACTATGGTTCGTACGCCCGCGATCGATTAGCTCAGTATTTTCTTCAGAAGAAGGCACTTCAACATTATATGGACACTCACTAAAGCCTTATCATTTCGAGTGATATCATATCAAATATTTGGGACCACTATGGTTGAAATTGAAACCTCAACCGCTCGATCGTTTTGGTTCAGTTCCAAACGATTTCGGATACACAAGAATTCTAATCCTAGAGACGCTGGCATGCAGATTAGGTCTTGTTTATACTCCATAATTTGATAGATCAGGAGATTAGACATAATGGAAAGGGTATGTATTGATCGAGTAATGAGGAGATCAGGATATTCAATCTAAGAAGTCAAAAATGTATTGATTGACTCATCTGGATGGACAATCTTCCTATTCTGCTGAGCTCCTTTTCGATACACTTATCTGTTCAGCTGAATATCCTTACCTCCTGATCTCCTCCATTGCCCAATCTTCTAATCTCCCAAATCGTAAAGTATGAACACAGTCGTAAAACGCGAATAGCATTCAGTTCTTTTGCAATTTTTTTCCTACATATTAATTTTCAATTTACTTGAGTAACACCTCCAGTTGACCAGTTGACCAAGTCTTGAAGATTCCTGTAAAGAGAATTCACTATGATATATGTTATCTCGAACAATGCCTTCCCAAAGGTGGCCTATCTTTGACGTATTGTCTTCCTTATGTATATCCTAGAGATTTTCTAAAAATCTACATTCACAATCTATACTGAATTCTTAGTTGTAGTTCTTTGTTATAAATAAAATCAGCATTGCCTTACGACAGATTCTTGGTGATTTACATATGTTAACTTGACTTTCGATCTTACTCTTGTCACCTGTTGAATATCTGTAAATTCAGTTTCCTGCCGAGTTACCTTAGATGTTTTATCAGAGTGTTGAGGCCTTGTAAATTCATGATATGAACATGTGATAACTTTACTTTGTAACAAATCTGGTAATGCTGCTGATCGTGATGCAACTACGACTGCATTCCTATGTGATTTGATCTTCATTTGTATTGGGAACAATCGTATATGGAGTTTGCCTATTCGAATAAATGTGTTATCTTATAGTATGACCTGCTGCGAATCGATGGTCCCGAGCAGGGTCAACCGTTACGTTGGACCGATATTGGAGCGACGTTGGACCGATGTTGACCGCTCTCCGCGCCGGCATTCACTCTCGCCACCCGCGAGCCGTCTGTGTCTCCGTGCGTACGTTCACTCTCGGCATTACTCTCGTCGTCGCGTTGGACTTTGTCCAACGGACGGTTGACCCTGCCCGGAGGGTACTTCGATCACAGGTGACCCCGGCCGGCTATCAGGTAGAGAACCAATTTTAGAAGTCCTGCGCTGATCCACCGATCCGTACGAGTAGCAAAGCATATTTCTTAGGTACACACTTACACAAATACAAGTATTATAGTGAAGTAAAAAGCAACAACCCCAGCAGAAGACCATTCAGCTAGCGAGATAGAGTAACCTACGAGTATCACAGATGGGCCGTTGTCGCAGCTCGGAAGTGCATGAGAATGGCGCCAGGTCCTGACAAAGCGAACTGATGACGACTAATGTGAAGTGAAATGTTTTCAGATGTCGAGATGCCTCGTGCCCAGTCCGAGGTACGCAACGTGGAATTACGATGGCAGCGGCCCTAGTCTTAAAACCGCGGACTTGGTGTCCATGGAGCCAGCAAGTTGGCGCTACTCGTTTGGCCCCTCCCTCGTCCCTCTTTTGATGAGGGAGAAATGAAATAGTTGTAATGGCTTCATCGACGGCTTCTTTGCTTCTTTTTCCATTTCTAGTCAAATCAGCATCCACAAAACTTCGTCACTCAAAACGCTGTGAACCCACTAATTTGATCTGTGGTTTTGAAGGAGGAGTCCACGCTAGGCACCAAGGTTGAAGAATGGGGAAACATACCTAGTGGGGAGACAAAGCGAACCTCCTGCGGACCAGCGCGCAATTCGCATTGGAGAATAGGTCAGAGCGACCCAGCATGACTATTCTCCAATGCGCGAATTTTTCGAAGCAGGGTCAACCCTGCGTTGCGCAAATTCCAAAATTTTTACGACCCCCTTCCTTTTCGGGGGTATCGGTACGACCCCCCATATTAACTATCATGTCTTTCACATAATTTAATGCTCAATGCTCATCAATGATGGCAGTCACCAACATGGAGAAGTGGTGGACCGTGGTCAATCCGCGCGCTTTGTCTCGCTCAGAGGAGGAATCGAGGCAAATGAAGTTTTATTCATTAAATAGAAGGAATTTCCAAATTTTTGCGTAAACCAATACATCATTTTAATTCGTAAAGATTTCTACTTTCAGAAACCCACCAGGATTTTTTCGATCTCTCAACTTTCCTTACCTTATAATCTGAAAAACTAAACCTTGTAGCAATTACATTGCAATCCAAACCCCTCCATTCAGAAGGTTATATTTTCTTTCAGAAGCTGTTTCATGAAATCGGACACCAAAATTTTGAAAATATAAATAGTTTTCTTCCTGAGGAGTATTTGAAATGTTGTGGATGTTCAATATTTCAAAAAAAATCGTCCCGTTGTTCCGTTTTCTGTGCACACGCGAGTTTTTGACATTCAAACATTCATAACTTTCTTCATAATCAACTTTTTGCAAATGTCTAAGGCTAATTAGAAACTAGAAGATTAGAGCTTTCGAACAAGCACCTGAAAATTTTCCAGCGATCATTTTTTCAAAAAATAGTTCGTTGTTCCGTTCTTGGGTGGTTTGGGGTCCGATTTTTGAGAAGGCGCGAGTTTTCGACATTCAAACGTTAATAACTTTCTTCATACTCAACATTTTGCAGATGTCTAAGGCTAATTAGAAACTAGAGGATTAGAGCTTTCGAATAAGTGCTAAAACTTCTTGAAATAATCACTCGCTCAAAAAATAGTCCCGTTGTTCCGTTTATTCCACCTTGATTTTTTTCAAGCCATTTTCCTGGACCGCGACTATGCAGTCTTCAAAGGCCCATAACTTCCTTTAAAATTAATGTGATGAGAAGCGTAAAGATTGTTGGAATCCACTCGAAGAGTACTTCATAACAACTGTGAAATTTTCCTGAAATTCTTTCTTCTGCCTCAATTTTCCTACGGCGTCTCTAGAACTCAATTCAGCAAATTCGCTACACTTTGTTTCGCTTAGATTTTATTTGAAAGCATCGAAACTCTCTTCAGAAAGTTTGTCTGCTTACGGCCGCTGACAGAGGAGGCGTTTTTTGGGAAAACGCCTCGGGTATACGCCGTGCACCTATCTGTGGGCAGAGTTCGCACTCGCATTTTGAAGTCTTCTGTTTTCCTGAAGAAGGTGTTAGTATCCTGATTGAGTTGTATTGTGCTGTTATATGGCACTCTTGTTTCACTTTCCCATGAACTGCTCTACACTTTGTTCTCCTCGGGATTTCAGGAATGTTTCATCATCGAAGACAGACCATGTTTTTGCACTACACTGTAACAAAGTTTTTGGCTATTGTCTATTGTACTCTTGATCTATGCCGCGGAGCAAAAGCGCCAGTCCGGATAGCGTCGCTTAACCCATAACGGACGGCGTGCGCCACAAGGTGGCGCACGACTATTTCTTTTGTTTTTGGAAATGTTTCTAGCAATCTTAATATACCCATATATACTCTCAGCAATGTGGAATAACATATCTTCCCAGGACCTGGACGGCTGGATTTTTGACAAATACAATAAATTTTGTCTTAATTTACATAAGTTTACTATTTGATGGGTGGCTTACCCATGGTTCGCACGTCCCGAGACCCCTTCCCCTAAATATAGCCACATCCTTGCTCGGGGTTGTTGTTTCGCATTTTTCGATAATGTCACCTACAGCTTCCATTCATTCTTTGCACCCTAGTTTTAGAGCGGAAAGGCGGGCTACGAACTTGTCGTCAACGGAAATCTCTTTTTCGGATGATGAGACTCCGACACCTACTTTAGCCCCGTCTTACCCCTGCTGTTCACATAAGCCTACATAAACCCTACCCTGGGTGGCGGCGTGCGCCACATGGTGGCGCACGCGAAAATACACTGGCCGTCCGTTATGGGTTAATAATAAGCTGATGGTGAGACTTATAGTGCTCTGCATGCTTTAATGCTCCCATGGAGCTCATGTCTGTGTGACTCTCCGACAGCGTGCAGAGCTCCTGGAGAACATTAGAGGCTGAAAGTGCACTCCCGGACACTGCACTTTTCAAGCCGTCTTGCAGCCCGTCTGTGGATACGACCCCCTCCCTTTTCGGTCGGCTGAATACGACCCCCTCGTTGTTCTTTGCGCAACGCAGGGTTGACCCTGCTGTTCGCGCGCTATTGCACGCTATCGCGCAGAAGCGCCCCTCTCATTGTCTGAGCCTCTATCAATTAAGCAGAGAGAAAGCGTTAGCGCTTGGAGGGCAGCATCGATGAGAGCCGGCCGTATCAATGGCTAAGTTTGAGGGTGAGCCGTCCCTTTTCTTGAGATCTAGGCCGTTCTTCTAGGTTTTTTGTGCACCACTGACCATCTCTAGCTTAATTCCCAATAGGCTGCCTTTTCGTTGTGAACATCTGCCTTCAAGCAAGGCGACTGAGTAAACCGACACAGTGCAAACCAAAGTATAACCTATGTACACATTAGAGTGCTCACCACAAGTAAATAGTACTGCAATCCTATGCAATTTTCATTCTGTCAACAAAATATCAAGACAGTACACATGAGTCACGAAAATGTAATAAATTCAAAGATTAAACCATATATCAATAAACAAAGAAAGAGATAAATAAGGTGGTGAAATGATTAGTGACGTAATGAGAAAGTTGTGATCTCTCAAGGCCTGAACAGTACATGAAACGAATAAATACAAACAACAACACAATATACTGATACAATCATATTAGGGATCTCAGATGTACTGAAATAGCTCCATGGGCCATATTTCCATAAATGTACCAGCACTACCACAAGGAATGAATGAGTCAGGGTATCATAGATCTTCAATAGGGGACAGGTAGAATGTTCAAATACAACGGTATGTTTGTCAAACTCATTTACCTACGCCGAAAATTCTCTGCAACT